TGTTGTTTTGTTTTGGTATCGCTGCGTCCAAAGTGCGTGAGTTAGTGTGCTTGCGCAGTTCAGAATCACCTTCAACGGCAAGGGCAGCATTGCACGCTCATTTGAAACGGGCAGCCCGTCTAACCTGAACATAAACATGTGCAGAGAAAACCTTTTTGGCAAGATAGTAGTCGAAATAAGCTAATTTCGTCTTTGTGGTTCGCATTCCTCTACAGTCATGATGAAGAAAATGTGAAAGATTGACCTTACATGCGATTAAAAAAAAAGAAAAAAAGAGTTTTGGCCATGCAAGATTCTCATAGGTAAAAAAAAAAATCTGTAGAAATTATTCAAAGGGGAGGACAAAGATCATAAACTAAAGCTTGAAAGAAGTAATATTGACATTGACAATATCATCACTGTTTAATACACTCAGGCATCTGCCTTATATAAAAACAGATGAAGAATCTCACAGGGTGGTTATCTTATAATATGATACATTAGCCGACAAGCCACCATCTGCTTAGCACAAAAAAAAAATCACATACAGTCTTATTTTACACCTAAGAAAATCACAGGCTTGCTCGAAACTTGAGTTTAGATTTTTTTTTTTTTTCTTAAGACATGTAAGCGATACGAGCAAAGGTGCTATGGTGGAATTTCACACACCCTGCAAGCAGAAGAAATGGTATTATAGGACAAATTAGTCACACGGCGTCATGGAAACAGGTTTTTAACGAGGCTGAAAGAAACCAAAGAATTCGTGGAATTTTCATTGTTTGAATCACACATATTCCAAGAAACACAACTTATTGTCGCATAAGACAGAAGATAATTAAAAGGAAAGGCTGCAACAGAAGCAGGAAACTGCACGAGAGCGAAATTTGTGTCATCGAGTCTCCGTGAATCTGAAACACTGTGTTACTGTTTGCACTGAAGAGGGCTATTCAAGTGTACATGAAACAAAATAAAAGCATATTCAGAAAAGGAGCATGCTGTTGGCCATGGTTTTGGCCATGTCTAAATTTGCTCCCACAACAACATGCTGATTGTTTACCCGGGCCAAGTCCTCAAGATGAGAACGGGTCACGGCTGTTTCACCGAGACACATTTTGTTTCACTTAGTTTTCGTCTTTGAAGAAGGAACAGCACTTTTCAGTCGAACTGACATATTTGGAATGAAACGACAGCGCCTCGGTTTCACATGTGCATGTCTGCACATGCGCCTTTAAGCCTTCGAGAAATCCCTCAAAACAGCCTCACACATGTACACACTAACTGAGAGAACGGGAGTTGACTATGCTTGTATTTTACCCTGGTTTTTACACTTGTCTAAGCAAAATCATCGCCTGTTTGATTGCAAACCTGGAGGTTGTTATCATAATCCGAACAGGTAAGAGTGTCGAATGCTGCGTGGGTTATCCTCTCTGCAGACCCACCAACCAGGAGCTGCAACGAGGCGACACAATCAATTTACTTCCTGGCAGCCACTTTGAAATATCTTTCCAGTTGGATGTGTGGGAGACTGCGCTTTGTTTTGCCTTTCATGCTGGTGTCCAACCCATGCGCAACTGCAAATTTATGGTTCCAGAATCATGTAAGGGCTTAATTAAACACCAACAACAAAAGTAGAGCAGTGTTGCAGATTTAACAGCAAAACACGAGGACAGGGAATACACCCACATGCACACACGCTAACCATTTCAAATGTAAAAAACCTTTTTTATTTATTTATTTTAATAAGGCTTGTTTTGGTGGCAAGAATAAACGGCACCCCGCGATCGCATTTGAGAGAGGGAGCTGTTGCTGAAAGAGCAGGAGCTCGTTTTACAGCGAGGAGCTGTTTTATAGCCCAATAGAACAGGTTAGGTGCTGAGACACTGTAGTGTAAAACCATTGAATAGCCTATAACCCTTTGATTAGTATCTGCGGAGGAATAAGGAACTGGGATACTCCTATATTTACTTCAAAATAGAAGATAAACCGAGTAAGAATTTATAATAAATTATTATGATGGGGAAATACTTAAATGAAGTCAAATGCAAGGTAAAAAGAAAAAGTCTTTAAAATTTTTAAAGAATCAAACATTTTTACAGACAAATATAGTAAAATAACAACATGCCTGACAAAAAAGGAAAAAAATATTAGCAATTGAATTTCATCAAATGAGCTAAACAATATTTTAAAAATTACGAGCAGTTTAAATGACTTTTGCTCCCATTTAATTTAATTTTATTTAATTTTATTTAATTTTTTGTAGCTGACAGTCTTTTATACGTATTGACCCCTCAAACCTAAACAAAAATAAATAAATAAATAAATAATCCATCTTCTAACAATAATATCAAGGTAACTCTGGCAAACTGGTCATAGTTCACCTGAAAAAAGAAAATAGATTGTTTTTACCTAAATAGATACATTTTGGTTTAATAGTTAAAGTTCACTGGAAGCAAGTTGAAAGTAAACACGGCGTATATTTTTAGAAAAACATTCCCACGCGTTATTTAGAAAGTTTATGCAACTTTGCTCACTTACTCTATCTCATGTTGAAGACGACTTTGAACTCTGCGCTCTACTGTCCAACACGTTATGTTCTTTAAAGGTGAAACTTTGCTATAATTGTCCACCCTTTTACCCCTTCCAAAAATAAATTACTAAATAAAATAAAATAAATAAAGACAATATGATCATATTTTAAAAATATCCCAGAATTATCTTTGAATTATGTGCAATGGCTTCTTGCACATAAGAAGCCAATAAAATAAAAATGCTGGTTTGAACACAGTGTTCAAACCAGCATTTTTTTTTAGTTTTTTTGTTTTGTTTTTGCTTTTGTAATTAATTTAAGACAAACGTACATGGTAGACGTGAAATGACACGTAGTGGATTTAAAAAAAAATACTGAGGTTATCTTCCATTACTTTATTTTTCCAATTTATTGTTTTCCCATGGGCCGCTGAAGATTTAGAAAATTATTGTCCAAGCTAGTACACAAGAAAGGACCCACTCTTTCCTACTTAAAAATACAAAATAAAAATACAGCTTCAACCTTTCAGTGATTGTTTCTCAGCTACATTATTCTATTTCCTCCTTCTTTCAAAGCCACAATTATTAAAAAAAAAAAAAAAAAAAAAAAAAAAAAAAAAAAAGGAAGTCGCCATTTTCCCTGCCAACTACTCCCAAGTGCACAAACCAGACTGGAACATAGCAGGATCTCACTGATGGGGTTAGGGTTTTCTTCTGCTACAGCACATCATCCGAGAGGACTTCTTTGTGGATAACAGTAGGCCACTACTGCTCTGATGTCACTTTCAGGCTCCCGTTCAGGAAAACGAACCAGCGCCGAGGCCAGGAAGAAGGGAATCCTGGCCCCCGTGTGGTTGATGGACAACATTCGCAGAAGACCCCCAGAGCTCTGTGTTAGTGACGTTGGGTGTTGGGGAAATTTACAAATTACTCACGTCACCGTCCAGGGGCCAAGGTTGGTAGGTGTGGCGTAAGACGGGGGAGCATGTAGCCTTGATCTCTGCCTGTGCGCATCCTCTCTAGATTGAACGACCCCAACCCCCACTTTTTGCTGATACTGCCTCAAGATATGCAATTTTACTGTGTTTATAATTAATTCAGCGTCACAGGAAGGCGATCCAAGAAAAAAAAAGAAGAAGAAAGTCACGTGAATACAAAGAGTCTTTTTCCATCATCTTTGTTTTTTCCAAATTAAAAGCATCAGACAAAAAAAGAAACATTAGACCAAACTTCACCAGCTCTATTCTAAATGATTGTCTTTGAAATTGTGAATGTGCACAAAATATCTGTGATACAAATACATAATCATATAGTAATTTATTAACAATCACATCATCACACACATACAAACCCTCAATTTGTGCGCGAACTGAGTACAAATCTGCACATTTAAAATCGCCTCATGCGTGAACACCTACGTTTTTTCTTTTTTTTTTTTTTAACAGGGACAATAAAGTGTATTTACTGGATGTGTTAAAGCTGGCAAAGTTACCTGTTGTAGTTTAATGCGAAAGGTCAAAGTTGGTCCTGTGTACGCATTCCACTTTCTGTTCCCACTCACTCCCATTGGTCCGTTCCGCCGCTGCGACCATTTCCGGGCTCCATGATTCCACTTTATTGCGGCGGGTTAAAGGTGAAGGCCTTGACATTATTGAAGTTCAAAGACTATATTTAATTATACATTGTGCTTAATGCACACGTGCAATCATCCTGCGCACATGTGGTGAGCGCACCGTCACATTCGCAAGACACATGCGTCAATTCCGTCAACATAAGACATACTCTTACACACACACACACACACACACACACACACACACACACACACACACACACACTCTGTTCTCACACGTTTGCTTTCTGCTGCCCACTTTTTTTGTTTTCTTCTTTTTTTTTCTTGCATATGTCACAGACCGAGTTCATCTCTAAAAGCTCTATTTCTCACTGTTCTTCCATGGGACATCTAGTCTTGCTTGTTTACTATTTAGTGCGGAAGTGAACACCATTTCCCCAGAACAGACGGTGCAATTAAGAGAAAAAAATAGCCATTTAGTGCCTCTGTCTTTATGGCAGCGTCTAGACTACAAGAGTGGCGATTCCATTTAGTGTCTACTAAAAGAGGTTATCATTCCCTTCTTGGCCTCTCTCGCTCTCTCCATGTAAGATCTAAGCTGTGGTTCGTTTAACGCGCGAGCAAACGCCTAAAGTGGGATTTGACGTGGAAAAAATTTAGAAAATCTGCAAACAGGTCCCGTAATATTCGCTGATACTTGAGCTTTCAATCGTATCACTTCTAACGCTTGCATCCAAACGCATAGGCGAGTAAATTGTGCCAGGGTCTTCATATTCATATATAACACAAGTTGCTATTTCCAAAAAGCATGCAAGTCACACAAGAAAAAAAAATAAACAAACAAAAAAAAAAAACAGCGTTGTGCCAAATCAAAAAAAAAAAGACGAGTATGCAATGTAACAGCACAAATAGCACAAAGTCGTTGAGTTTTGCCTATAGGTTTCTGTTTATTTAGTTATTGTAGCGATACACAGGCCGACGATCTGCTCATCCTCTCTGCGATCCAAAGCACCAAAATGTCTGAAGCAAATAATTTAACAAGAGTCGCCATTAAAGCTATTCGTGTGGCATGGGCAAGTGTGCTGAAAAATAGCAGCAGGGATATGGAAAAAAAAAAAAAAAGATCCAACATATGCCTATTTACAGTCACGAATGCACATTGCATAGGCTATTCTGTATACATGAACGTGGCCGGAGGGGAGGGTGGGGTGGGTGGGATTGAGGGAGGGGATGTAATACTTTCACAGATTGGATATCTCTCAAGGAGGAACAAAAAAATGCAGCCTGGAAAAAAAAAATAAAATTCTGCCCACACTCTGGTCGATGATGAAATATTTTAGATATTGATATGCTATATACACTGACCAGAGGCTGGAGTAAGAGCTAAAAGTTGTCTGCTGATATTTTAACAAATATGTCGATACGAACAGTAGATTAAAGACAAACGGAGAGTCGTGATAAATAGGACATTTTCAAGACCAGCATATAAATGTTTATTCTAACACAGGCCTTTTTGTCAGAGGGGGTAAAACCAGCTAGAAATTCATCGCCGCCCAGCAGGATAATAAGAAAATGGCGACATTATCCCCTTCCCCTTATTGAAGGCCTATTTTCTTCCACTGTTCACTTTTTTTTCACATTGCACTGTTGGTGATATGGGCTCCTCTTTGTGGTAAAAAAAAAAAAAAAAAAAAAACGGTTTTGCCCCGGATTACCATTCATTCAATGAGATAAGGAGAAGAAAGAGGAGGAGGCCTCTATGCCACTGTCCTGTGACACTCTTTCTGCTCACAACAGGGGGTTTCCAGAGAAATACTGCAAGCGATCTCTGCTCAGCTTCTTCTCTTTCATTCTTCTGTTCTGGAACCAGATTTTAACCTGGCGGTCGGTGAGGTTCAACATTCGGGAAAGCTGGAGCCTCTTCTCCTTGTTGATGTAAACGTTGAAGAAGAATTCCCGCTCCAGCTCTCGAATTTGAAACTTGGAATAGGGACACCGCTTCTTCCTTGTTCGAGGGACGCCTGGATGAGGAAGAAAATTATACAAATATTATTATTTGAGCAGATCAAGTGGAGAATAATGTAAAATATATATATATATATATATATATATATATATATATATATATATATATATATATATATATATATATATATTTAAAAATAAATAAATAAAGATATAAAGATAGAGTGGAGTGCTGAGGTGGCAATAGGCTCGCCAGGTGCTGAAAATCCTGTGTCACTGGCATTAGCAATGATAACATTTCAAACCACATTCATGAAGTGAAGTAGCTGAGGCTATCAGATAAACCAGCCATAAAGAGTGCTAAATATCCAAAATAGTTCGGAGGGAATAATATCAACTTACAGCCTCGCTAAGTACGTGTTTATCTGTTACAAATACACAATAACAAAAAGTATTTTCGCCCTGCATTATGTGCGCCACATTCCTCTGGAGCTAAACTAAACAATTTGTACAATCTTCTGGCAGTGGATGCATTGGCTTTTTGTCTGCAGCGGCCCCTGTGCAGACCCCAATGGCCCTATCACTCCTTATCAAACAGGTGACCGGGGAAATACATTTCTTTTATTGTGCAGGCATGTGTGTGTGTGTGTGTGTGTGTGTGTGTGTGTGTATGTGTGTGTGTGCGCGCTAGCGTGGAAAGTGGACAAATTTAAGTCTCAGGTTTTAAACCACACACTGGATGAACTAGTTACACTGGCAAATAATAGTTAGCTTTAATTTTAGTTGATAGCTAATCAATATAATTTTCTGATCGTGTCATTTCTAAAAACGTTGTTTAAACCGCATATTAAGCTTTTTAGCATCTTCACAGCATATTTCAGATAGATAGATAGATAGATAGATAGATAGATAGATAGATAGATAGATAGATAGATAGATAGATAGATTGTTTTGTGCTTAATGCTCTTTGCTGCATGACTTTTTGCGCGCAAACCCTGTGCTAAAGATAATTCACCGGACGCCAAAAGCAATGTTCTGCCCAATTGGTTTTTACACACGACAGCCCCAACAAGAAAATCCCTTAAAAATGACCAACGCAAGTTCACGATCAAAGTTAACATTTGTCACAATAGCTCTCTCTTAAAAAATTTCACAGACTCTCACCATAGAGGCGTCTGTGTATAACATCCCCCACTTTTTCTTTTTTCAAAGCCCTTTTCCCATCGTAAAAATTCTTCCCGTTGCAAGAAAGAGCTTTGTAGGGTTATAATAAAATCCTTTGAATGCTTATAAAACTCCACATAAAATCTGACCGACAAAACACCGGTCTAGTCCCCTTAACCTTCCCCCCGTTTTACAGCTTCGGTTGTACCTACTCGAGTGGCTGCTCTTGCTGGCGTTTCCGTCCTTGGCTGTGGCGGAAGAAGAGGTGCAGGAGCCTGAATTCGTGTGTTCCTCCTCATCGTCTGGGTCTTTCCCCGGCTCCGGGACTCCAGATATAGCCGCTGTGGCGTCCTGCTGCTGTTGCTGTTGCTGTTGTTGCTGCTGCTGCTGGGAGTCGCTTTCCAGCTTCCCTCCCTCGCCCTTTTGTAAACAATTGTCTGACTGATTGTCCGTGCTGCTGCAGTATGCGGTCTCGAAAAAGCGGTCGAAGCCTTGTGGGAGGACGTTGTTCTTCCCCACGCCAGAGTAAAAGCCCGTGGAAGGGTGATTGGATCCCGGGTGGGCATGGTGGTGATGGTGGTGGCTGTACACGCTCTCGTTCTTCATGAGCATTTCTGTCATGGTGGATGGAGGAAGACAGTCTCTATGCACCAGATCCTCTCCCGAGTAGCACGACGCATAGTTGCTCCTGTGGTGCCATTTGCTGGCGGGGTCCAAGCCGTACGAAACTTCCCGCACCGGCTGCACTTGAGACAGATTCGTGGAGTAAGGGTAGCTGATTTGCCGCGAAGGGGCCTGCGGAAGAAACGAGGAGACGGCGGAAAACTCGGGGACGTAGTAAGTGCAGCTGGGGAGGTAGATGTTGGAAGCGCAGCCCGTCCTGTCCCCAAACTCGGATGTCCGGTCTTTGCGTGTCTGGGAGCAGAAGTTGCCCAGATTCACCGAGTTAAACATCTTTCGCTCTCTCGCTACTCGGCCACTATAGATAGATGTTTTGGATTCGAGCTGCAGCAGAAGGGGAAAAATTTGGGAAGGCGAGATGACGCGCAATCCGTCTAAGTCGCCCCGCAGACACGTGATCGAAAGTAGATATTGTCATATATCAATTTGGAAGAGTTGGATGTGTAGGAGTGGTTGGCTTTAGGTGGATCGAGGAGGTTCAAACGAATAATTTTCAAACGCCACAGGCGCACCGAGCAAACCAGTTACAGATTCTTGTTTGCTGGCTTATGACAATTAGTGAGATATGTGCAGCGTTTGAGTGTGTGTG